TTGGTCGCTAATTAGCGACCAACTTTGGTCCCTAAATAAAAGGGACCATCAATATTGCTACCAAACCCTTTTGGTCGCTTTTTAGCCCAATAGCGACCAACTCTGGTCGCTTTTTGCGGTCGCTTTTTCCCGGATTTCTAGTAGTGAGATCCATGCATTCCACAATATTAAATTAAGCCTCTTATACATTATGTTGTTTCCCCAAGTTCAGAGTTATCTGTTTTCATACAACCAGATGCAAGTCCTACTCCCATTCCCGCACATGTTCTGAATAGCACTCCCTCTGTCACTTCTTCATCTCCTAATTCTTTTCCTAACTCAAATAGAATTCTGTCAGCGTCCTCTTCCTCTTCTCCTACTTTAACTCCAGCTGTTGACCTTACAAATAACTCTACAACTCAACAACCTCCTTCTTCTTCCAGTAGTCCATCAAAAACAGCCCCACTAGTGCAAAAACGAGTTCAACAGCCACTCACCCTTCAGCGCACACATCACATGCAATTGAGACCCAACCCCAAACCCAAAATATATTCAGCTGTTTGTTCCCCTTCTTTACAGTCTTCACCACCCACAGTAGAACCCACATGTTTCACTGAAGCCTAAAAGTTCAAGAAATGTCGAGAAACCATGGCTGCCGAAATGACAGCCTTGCTCAAGAACAAAACATGGTCCTTAGTTCCTCACAAACCAACAATGAACGTCTTGGGGTGCAAATGGGTTTTCCGAAAAAAAAAAGAACTTATTTGGAGTTGTTGAATGTTACGGGGATTCATCAAGTTAAAGGTCACGAATTTTGTGACAAATTTAGCCCCGTGGTGAAACCAATAACTATACGTATTGTCCTAACTTTGGCTGTGACTAATAATTGGCCTTTGCGTCAATTGGATGTTCAAAATGCGTCCTTACACGCTGACCTTCAAGAGGAGGTCTTCATGTCTCAAACTCAGGGGTTTGCTCATCTACATTATCCCCACCATGTTTGTAAGCTTCAAAAATCTTTGTACGGACTCAAGCAAGCTCTGAGGGCGTAGTACACGAAGCTCCAACAATTTCTTATCTTTATAGGTTTCTCAGCCTCTAAAGCTGATGTTTCCCTCTTCATCTTCAACTCTCACGGTATTATTGCATATTTTTGTTAGTGTATGTCGACGACATTGTTGTAACATGTAGCAACATCAAATTTCTTGAATCTGTTGTGGATCAGCTTGGCAACAGTTAGAGACCTAGGCAATCTCAGTTTCTTCCTTGGAGTTTTCGTCTCACGAAATTCTTCTGGTATTTATCTCTCGCAAGAACAGTACATTAACAATCTTCTTGATAGAGCTAGCATGTCGAATTGTAAACCTTAACTCACTCTAATGGCCACAACAGTAAAGCTTTTCAACGGTGGCAGTCCAGAGTTTCGTGATCCTACCCTCTATAGACATGTCGTTGGAGCTCTTTAGTATCTTACTCTTACACGGCCCGACATTTCATTTGTTGTGAATAAGGTGTGCCAATTTATGCAATGTCCCTCTTTGAATCAATGGGCAGTCGTGAAAAGAGTGTTAAGGTATCTCCAATACACAAAGAAGCAATAGTTCTTCTTCTCCAGATCTTCCTATCTTCACTTGCAAGCTTTCACGGATACCGACTGGTCTGGTCGCATTGATGATCGCAAATCCACCAGCGGTTATGTTATTTTTCTAGAAAACAATCTTATCTCTTGGTCATCCAAAAAGCAACGTACCGTTGCTCGCTCATCCATAGAATCTGAATACAAAGCGTTAGCTAACGCATCAGCTCAACTTACTTGGATCCAATCCCTCCTTTTTGATCTTGGTATATTCAACTTCTTAAGGCTCCCACTTTATGGTGTGATAACATTGGCGGAGCCTATCTATCTATCAATCCAGATTTTCATTCAAGAACAAAATATGTGGAGATTGATTTTCAATTTGTGAGGAATAAATTTGCCAGAAAAGATCTTCAAGTTCAATTCATCTGCACAAAGGATCAACTGGTAGACATTCTTACAAAACCTTTATCAACGACCATGTTTCAATTTCTCAAAGACAAACTCAAGATGAAAGATCCACCTTTAGTTTGCAAGGGGAGTGTTAGACCATCTTAATCTTATCATGTATATTCAAATATTATGATAATGACTTAGAATAGTAGCCTAGCCGCTTAGGACTCTTACGGCTTATCTCTTGTATCAACTTTCCCCTATTATCGGACTCCTGGCTTATCTACGTGCATTGTACTATATAAACTACATAAAATAAAGAATACAAGTGTGGGTTTTCTACTACTGAATTTTGCGGTGTATTACGTTTAACATTCTAAACACACCTCTAATTTTTAAATTTTTTTTTCACTTAAAAAAAAGATTTATTTTTTCCGGAATTTTACAATTATCCAAACGCCCGCTAAAAACTTGAATGGCAACGCTACTCGATTGGGCCGAGCTATCCCTCTGGGACGGCTAGTCGGCTACTGCAAACTTTACCATCAATAATCAGGCAGCTATTCCCTCGACATAAAGTAGACACCAATTCAAAATAAAGTCCCCAACAGTCGTAAATCCGCAAGAATACAATTGACTATATGTACGTGTTTCGTAACGAGGCACTCCTCTATGCATGCAACCTGCTGCTTATTCACTCCTCTAACACGTCATCCATCTTCCACAAATACGTGCCCCTCTTTCTTCCTTAACCTTTCCCTTTCGCCCTTCTATAAATAATAATTCCAAAGCTCCACCAATCCCATACTCTCCTCATCCATTTCAACCCCAGTTTGAAAATCTCAATCAATATTCGCTTGTTTAGTTAGTTCGTTTAACATTTAACCATGGCTGACTACTATGGCCATCAGCATACTCATCATCTTCATCATCATGAGCAGCCTGCACCTAGGTCTTACCAGGTGGTGAAGGCTGCTACCGCCGTTACCGCCGGCGGATCTCTTTTGGTTCTCTCCGGCTTGACTTTGGCCGGCACGATCATTGCACTGACTGTAGCCACTCCCTTGCTGCTGATTTTCAGTCCAGTGCTTGTCCCTGCGACCATTACTATATTCCTCTTGATGTTTGGCTTCTTGGCTTCCGGAGGTTTTGGCGTGGCGGCAATTAGCGTTCTGTCTTGGATCTACAGGTACAATGTCAATAAATATTACTTACTCATTAAATCTTACTATAAGTGAAAAAACTCTAAAATGTCAATAAATAGTACTCCATCCATTCCAATTCGATTTAAGTAAGAAAGAATTTTTAAATTTGTAGACTTAGATATGTTATTAATTACTACTATAAAATTTGTAACATTTGACGTGGATATAAAACTTTTGAAATTTGTGGTCTTTAACTACTACAATATTAGTAGGACTATACGAATTTCTCATTACGAATATTAAAAGTTAAATTATTTTTAAATATAAAATTGTATAATTGTTTTTTAAACAGACTAATTTTCAAATAAAAAAATGTGCAGTTCTTCCTTAAAACTGATCAATAAGAAAATGTTGTCGCCTAAACTGAAATAGGGGGAGCAGTATATAAATTTAGAAGTTATAATTTAGTACAACAACTTCATTACTAAAAAATATAAAATTTAAACCCATGTAGGTACATGACAGGAAGGCACCCACCTGGTGCGGTGCAGTTGGAGCATGCAAGGGACAAACTGGCTACAAAGGCTCGGGAGATGAAAGAAAGAGCTGAGCAGTTTGGACAACAGCAAATCTCCGGCACACAACAGGGTTAATTTGCACTTTGTCAAAAAGTTCAAAACGGAGTTTGGGAAGTGCTGCATTAGTTAGCGAAGGTTCATTTATATGTCCACGTCTTTCTTTCGTTAATCTTCAAGCCCATTTTTTGGGTTTCTTGTTAATTTTTGGGTTTTTTGTTGTTGATTTTTGGGTTCCATACTTATAGGGACTCTTGTTTTTACTTTATTTTAGTAATCTCTAGTTAATGTTTTGCGATCAAATTGAAATAAATAGAGCTGATGCTGTTTGCCGTATAAGCTTTTTTTCCTCCTCCTCGCTTTCCATTTTCTGTCTACGTAAACTGTGAACGTGAGTAGCAATTGGAGGCTGCGTACGCCCTATTTCAGCAATACTATATAAATAAAGAACAATTAACTTAAACTCCGCAACCGCTTAAACTCGCAATATTTTAACAGCGGTGTGTGAGTGTTACCCGTTTGGGGAGCAGGTTGCTCGTCGGCGGTTGATGTGGTATCTGCTTGTGCGGCGTTTTTATTCGTCCTTTAAACGGCTTTGTCGAGTATGTTATTTAGGATACTTTGTTGGTGGCGCTTACTCAGCTGTGGACGTGGAGGCTCCCCTTTCGCGTGAAGCGGTTACACTGTGGATGTGGAGGCTCCCCTTTCGCGTGAAGCGGTTACACTTTCATGAGAGGAGGTTACTTACTTTGCCTGGGTGTAGCATTCGGTGTCACATTCTCCTCGTCTTCTTTGTCATCCTCGTTGATGGTGTTCAAGAGACGTCCATTACTGCTTTTTGTCTTTCATCTCCTTTTCCTGTCATTATTAGTTTGTGCAATCGAAAAAAAGATGGTCGTTGTCATTTTTTTTATCTAGAAGAAACTAAAATTTTAACTAGAAGTCCCCATATACTACGCCAAATTGTTTGACCAAAAAGTGTTTGAGCTTTTTGTTAAACCAATTAATGAGGAAATAAAGAGTGAATCCTAGTTAAACATAATAAATTATAGATCTAAAATCGAAAAATATCAATGGGATGAGACCGTGTTCAAGAACAATAAGTATCAAGTATATGGCCAATGATTGTCAATGAATATAGTAATAGAAGCATGCAATAAATGTAGATAATGGCAATAAATATAATAAGAAGAGATTTATCACCCAAATGTAAGGTGAATTGGACGATTTTCTTCCCTGACAATAACGTGGGGTGGTAGGAAATGAAAATGTGTAAGGGGTCTTTGGATCTTGTGGATGAACAACATAATTGCGAACAATGTAATCAGTGTACAAACTTTGGTATATTCTCTTTAGTCAACCCTTTACAATGTTCTCTTATCAAAAAGTGAAGATCCCCTTTTGTTCTTTATTTTTTCCTATTTATAGGGGATATCCCTAAGAAACTCTAAAAAAGTACAACTGAAAGAGTATTCAATGAAATATTTCTTCTTTCTATTCTAATTTATCCTACTGTTACTTTCATACGCCCGTTACTCGACCTCGGCGCTAATTTCTCTTAAGATGAGTTTTCACCCTTATGTCGTGGTCGATTTAATTCTCGATCACGTCCATTTGTAACTATTAAGTTTAATCCAAATTTTGACCAATACAGAAGGCTCATTTATATGTCCACGTCTTTCTTTCGTTAACCTTCAAGCCCCTTTTTTGGGTTTGTTGTTGATTTTGGTCCCATACTTATAGGGACTCTTGTTTTTACTTTTGTTGAGAAAGGGGGTACATAAGGGTATTTTTGTATTTTCCCTTATTAGACACCACCAATAGGAATGAAGAAGGTGGTTAAGTTAGTTAGCCATGTGAAGCTTATATAAATATACACTTTTAATATTCAATTTTTAAATTAATGAGAATAACACATCTGATGCTATCTTCTTCCTCCTCATTTCTATCTTCTCTCTCATTTTCTCTCGTCCATCTACTACTTCTGCTACTTCATACAATTTCATGGTATCAAAGCATAGCTAGTAAATTCTAGCTTACGATCCATTACAATTCATTTCTTTATCAGTTAAGTCGACTGTTTTCTTTGTCTCTATCTCCTTCTTTTAATTGATTCTTAAACTTCTTGATCAACAATGGTCATCCCTTCAAATCAAACAATGAGGCACATGCAACAACTCCAGTTCCTCCGGCTCCTGTATTAGTGTAAGCACGTGATTTTTGCCCTATGTGAGAATTACTCCCAAAAAATCCAAAATAAAACAATTTTTCTTTGTGTGCAATTTTAGAATTTTTGTGGCATTTTTGATAATTATTTGTATTTCTGTTTGTGCGTGTTTATTGGTTAAATTAATAAAAAATTACAAAAATATGTCGCATTTGCATTTAGTATTTATTTAAGTTTGTTTTACAAAATCATAAAAATAATGTACGTTGCATTTTTAGCATTTAACGTCTAAATTGTGTGATTTTTATAGTTAATTGTTATTTAAATGTGTGATAATTGTTATTTGGATAGATTTTTGAAGTTATAACAGATTTTGAATCAAGGCAGTAACAGTAGTTTTAGGGGTAATACGGGAATTAACCAGTTGCAGATTATTTAATTATGGTGGGGGACAAGACGTAATGATAAAAGCAAAAAGGAAAAGGTGGATAATGATGTCTTCTTTTCAAAAAGAGGGAACATGGGGGCCCACTTTGACTACTTTTCAAAAAGAGAGAACATAGGGGGCCCACGTTGACTACTTTTACTAAAGTAAAAGTGTGGGTAATAATAAAAGTTAAAGGGTGCACATAGTGGAAAAAGATTGGGTCTTGCTTTGGGTAAATAAGAGACTCATTTGACACTTAAAAGGAGGAGATTTGGAGGAGAANCACTTTGATTACTTTTCAAAAAGAGGGAACATGGGGGCCCACTTTGACTACTTTTCAAAAAGAGAGAACATAGGGGGCCCACGTTGACTACTTTTACTAAAGTAAAAGTGTGGGTAATAATAAAAGTTAAAGGG